TCAACAGCGGATCTCTGAGCTAGCGGAGCCTACAGGCAACGCCCTGAGAGATCTTTTATTTACCGTATTTTTCCATGCATAAGACTGTACTTTTGTCTAAAATCTTTAGACTAAAAATTGAGGGTGATCTTATACATGGAAGTAAGCTGAGGAGAGAGAAAAAACAAGTGGAGGGGAAAACAGGGATCAAAGTGATCCTGCACTGCTTTGATCCCTTTCCCCCTACACTTACTAAGCCCCACTTAGATTTCTTAATTTTGAGTTAGAAAGTGGGGGGGCATCTTATACATGGGGGCGTCTTATACACGGAAAAATATGCATGATTTACATACAGTAGTATGTTGTGAGAGAGACAGATACAATACTAGTTACCTAATCACAACTAGGATTGGCTAAAATAACCCTTTGATCTTATGCTAAACTTCTAATCATAAGGGCAGAATAAGGGATTGCCCCACCTGCTGGCAGCTGCTGCTTTCTATCAGGAGTGTATGCACATCACTGGAACAGAATGCAGCTACAACCTTTAAACAGTAGTTTCCCGCAGTGAGACCTGGTGAGAAAGAGAAATTTGGGAAGAGAAATGTTCCAGGCATTCTCCATATCGTCTCGAAAGATGCTGAGTTCCCCAAGAATAGGCCATGACACAGGATTAAGGTCCATTTTTGCTGTTGATAAACAGAAATCCAAATACAGTGGGGTCTCTACTTAAGAACGTCTCTACTTAAGAACAATCCAACTTAAGAACAGCTCCATTTGCTAAATTTTGCTTCTACTTGAGAACAGAAATCCAAGATAAGAACAGGAAAAAAACCTTTCCTGCTCTTTTTTTAACCTTAGGTCATCTTAGGTTAAAAAAAAATTCTCCCCCTAGTGGTAGAGTACGTATTAACCAGCTTTGCATTAGTTCCTATGGGAACTAATGCTTCAATGTACGAACGCACCTCTACATAACAAAAAAACAGCCAGAACGGATTAATTGGTTTTCAGTCCATTCCTATGGGAAATTTTGCTTCAACTGAAGAACGTTTCAACTTAAGAACACCATTCCAAAATGGATTAAGTTCTTAAGTAGAGGTTCCACTGTAGTTTCTATGGACGGAAAAGAGCAGATACGGATTAAATGGTTTTCAATGCATTCCTATGGGAAATGCAGATTCAACATAAGAACTTTTCAACTTGAGAACCACCTTCCAATACGGATTAAGTTCTTAAGTAGAGACCCCACTGTAGCTAAAAAGGATAGAACAGCTCTCCTGGGAACCCATTCCTCTTGAAATGCAGAACAAAATTATATCAAGCCAGCCAGGATGCCACTTTTTCTTCAGATTACCTGGTTTTTGCCCTTCCTTGAAGAACAGTCAACAGGACCTTGGCACAGAGCTTGGGAGTGATGGCTTTTTTGGACTAATAATTGTGTGCCATCAAGTCAATTCCTTCTAGGATTTCCGAGGCATGGAATACTCGGAGGTTGGTTACCGTTGTCTCTTCCTAGGGAAACTCTGGGAGCATGGGGTAGCTGTTTCCTTAAAAGCCACTGGGGCGAATCAAATTCCTACACATGTCTCCTTCGCCAGGTGCTTCTCTTCCACCCAGACTGTGTGTCCAACAGTCACAATGCTGGGAGGATTCTGGGCGTTATAGCTGAAAATAATTCCTTTTCTCAGGGAAAACACCCGGGCCCTGCTTGGAGACTCTCTGTTTCAACTCTCCCTGGACTTGCTAAGTGGGTGGTGATAGTAGGTGTAGCCCAACATGTCTCGGGAACACCGGGTGGGAGCCGGATACACTCTGTATAAGGCACGTGGCAGGGCAACAGAGATGTTGCTGGATATATAGCACTCTGACCTCGCTAAGTCATACAGAAGAAGCAAACTAACTAAATAAATACAGTTCTCCATGAAGACTATGTGTTATTATTGTTTTATTCATTTATCATGAAGCAAATAATAAAGCTACTTGCCCCAAAACAATTTCCGGGTGACATCATCTGCTTTTAGGAGACCCAACGTAAGTATGAACAAATGCCTTTTTAAGAAATGCTCTCCATGTTATACAGTGTAAAGATAGTAAATAATGAGCTTTACTTAAAAAGGCATTAACTGACAGAAGGCCAATTTCTTTCTCTTTCTTTCTATCACTTTCTCCCACTTCTCCTCATAGTTTACTTCCCTGTTCCATATGCCTTAGATTCTTTCAGCCAGAAGGCTTGTACTCTACATGCATTCTTGCAGCACTTGAAAATTCTGGCATAAACACATGCTACACAGCAGGAGGAAGTCCCACTTAATTTCAAACATACATTTAGTCCTAGGATATATTTCTGGGCACTTCTCCTGGATCACACCGCCTCGTAACAACATAACTAGACAGTGTTTACACAAAGCTTCCCTGCTGTATGTTGGTCCATTAATTTCTTCAGAAGCAGCTGACCAAGTAGTTCTTCTCCTTAACGGCCAGCCTGTGAGGCTGTAGAAACAGATCGACACTTCATTTGAGCAGCAGGGGAGTCCATTTTATGGAAGAACCTGGCTCTGAACAGGTTCTATGCCAAAATTAAAATTAAAATCATGTGACGGAGCTGTAGAGGGTGGTTGCCTTTATTTTGGTTCTTTTTACTTCAGGACTGCTGCAGTGCTGACACTTGGCCTTTACTGCTTCTAGTCTTGTTTCTCCAAAAAAGGAAATTGGTGCAGAGGTCCTTAATGGGGGGTGGGCCAGGGTCATTACTGGTGGAAATTAAAGCAGGTGCAGCTTTGTCCAATACATGAAGATGAAAGCAGGACTTTGACAGCTCATGACCAGTGTTAATAATAAAGCTGCTGTTTGCTGTTTCTCATTTCATCCTTTCAATCACTACCACCGTGCATTCAAACCTTTGGCTTGGACACTGAGCTCCAGGTATCTGGAAAAGCAGCCTACGTCCATGACAACTCATGCCAAATAAAACTTGTTAATTGTAAAGATGTCAAGAGAGTCTTTATTGCTTCTGTGTAGAAGAAACTACTGTTGTGTGGATACTATTGCTTTTAATGTTTACATCCCACTATTCTTTCATTGAGGACTATGAGTATAAGACAGAGTTTGCACTTCCAAGCAGTCTGTGTTGTTGTTGTTGTTGTTGTTGTTGTTTAGTTGTTAAGTCGTGTCTGACTCTTCATGACCCCATGGACC